CCCAAACCCAAAGAAAATCATTGATTTTGGCCTCTTCGGGCCCTCCTAGACGACCTCTTGAAGGCCTCTTGGGCTGTCTTGGAGGCCTCTTTGGAGCCTCTTGGACCGTCTTGGGCCTCTGGGACCCTTCCGAGGCGACCCCGGCGGACAGGCCAGGCGGCCGGGAAGCTCGCCGCCGCCCGCCGCTCGGGGAGCGAGCCTCGGGCCCGAGGCGAGGATGAGTTGCCTGGGCCAGCCTCGGGTCGGAGGCGAGGACGGTGAGGCGGAGGAGGAAGCGGAGGGGGAGGGGGAGGAGGCGGAGGTGGAGGGGGAGGAGGAGGACGAGAAGGAGGAGGACGAGGACGCAGCGTGCCCGGCCGCATGCCGACGGCGAGGGCGACTCCGCCGCCACGCGCCGCACCGCCCCAGAAGGTGGAGAGAGGGGGAGGACAAGGAGGAGGTCGAGAACCAGGAGGAGGAAGAGAGGCGGGACAGGAGAAAGTGGAGGTGAGGAGGGGGAGAAGGAGGACGAGACAGAGGACAAGCGACCTTCCTCCATACCCAAACTGACATGCTTCTAGCCGCCCCTTCCCGTCTTCGAATCTGTCCCTTGCCAACGTGTCGCAGCAATTGCGGCGCGCTTCCCGGCGCCTGCCAAGGACTGCCTCCCTCGCGATCCCTGGTTTTCTCCATCTCCCATGGACCCACATCGTCATTGTATGATCCTTGGCACGCGTGCCCCTTGTTACGCGAGCTGATTCTCTACCCTGCCCTTTGCTATCCCCCCCTTTCGCCTGGCCCGAGTGCCCGAGAGGAGGAATCGTGCTCTCAATGTTCCGACGTGTTCTTAACCGTTTGAAAATGTTTACAATTTTCGGTGTGGCGTCGGTAGAGCGCCAGTGTTAAGTCGGGCCTGTCCCCCAGGGGGATTTTCGACGAAAAATAAAAAGTACCCCAAAAATACCCCAACAAGGTCAACATAAATGTTCAAAACATAGTCCCCAAACTATGTTTGACATATTGTTTTATTATGTTTGGAATATTTTTTATTTGTCGCCGAAATCCCCCGGTAGGGGGGCAGGCCCGAATGAATGCCAGTGGCGAGAGTCGGGGGAGCGTAAGACCCGGGTTTGCCAGGACTCGGGTTCGCCATCGTTTTTTGACGACCGCGCCTCGGATTTTGACGAGGAGGAGTTTCGTGGGATGTCTGCAGCGGGAGGCCTCGTCAAAATGCAGGCTCGGCCTCGTCATTTTTTTGGCGACCTCGTCGGGGATTTCCGAGTCCCTTGCACCCAGGTCTTACGTCCCCCTGAGAGAGAGTGGCCCCGCCTCGCCGTGCCCGCCCCCCGCCGCCACGTGCGTGTCACACCTCTGGGCACACGGGCCTTGCAGGGGCCACGACAGGGGGGGGGCATAGGCATAGGGGGGGATGCATAGGCCCAAGGAGGAGGAGAGGAGGGGAGGAGGAGGAGGAGGAGGAGGAGGAGGAGGCGGAGGAGGAGAGGAGGAGAGGAGGAGGAGGAGGAGGAGGAGGAGGAGGAGGAGGAGGGGAGAGGAGGAGGAGGAGGAGGAGGAGGAGGGGGGGGGGGGGAAACCCCAAGGGGGTTCAGGAGGAGGAGGAGGAGGAGGCTGCAGGAGGCCCGAGGCTCGAAGTGCAGGGTCCTCGGGCGCTCTCCCGTCGGCCCCCAGAGGGCCTCCCCGCCGCGGGGCGCCTTCCAGCGGCGGCGCCTCGCCCGGGGCGTTTTTCCGGGGCAGCCCGGATGGTCCCGCGGGGCCGCCGAGAGCGCCCGAGCGTGATGGCCCGAAAGCCGCCGAGGGCAGCGGCACAGGGTCCAGGTGAGGAAATCGGGGGCAAGGATAGGGGGGGATAGGCATAGTATCATAGGGGGGATGCATCGACCCCCAATCGCCCACTGCTCGCCGGAAAGGGTCCGATGGCCCCAGCCCGCCCAGGAAGGTGCGGATTCACCATCGGGGGCCTATCGCCGATCTGTCGGCGATGTACCGCCGATTCCAGGTCGATGCATCCCCCCATCTGCCAGTCCCCCCCTACCGTTGCCCCTCAGGAAAAAACACCCAGGCTTGAGAATTGGCGTTTGCTGAACGGCCCTGGGCGTTTGCTGAGCAGCCCTGCCCCGTTCGATTCCTCCTCCGCTGGGTGCGTTTGCGGAACGGCCTCGTGTGCCCCCTCAGGCTTGCCCCCCTCAGGCTTGCCCCCTTCGGGGGCATCGCTGCCCCTCAGGCTTGACCCCCCCACTCCACACCCCACCCCACCGCGCCCCCCAGGCTTGCCACCCTGGGCTTGCCCCCCCTTCGTGGGCATCGCTGCCCCTCAGGCGTGCCCCCCCCCCACCGCCCCTCCTCCTCCTCCCCTCCTCCTCTCCTCTCCTCCTCCTCCTCCTCCTCCTCCTCCTCCTCCTCCTCCTCCTCCTCCTCCTCCTCCTCCTCCTCCTCCTCCTCCTCCTCCTCCTCCCCCCGCCCCCCCCACCGCCCACCGCCCCGCCCCCACGGGGCTCGAGTGCGGACCTGCGGCCCTGGCCACCCAGAGTCTGCGCCGCAGAGCGCTCCGGGACGCTCCCGGAGCGCTCCGGAGCGCTGCGAGGAGGCCGCGGCGCCCGAGGCATGTCTCAGAATTTCTCGACATAGCCTAACTTCTCGATAGATCATAACCTCTCGATGTATCATAACTTCTCGATGTACCCCCATGACTTCTGTCATGACGACTTCTCGATGTATCCTCCACCGGATTTGTTCTCAGCCTCAATTGGGCTTTTGGCCTTGTTCTGGGCCGCCGGGGCTCCCGCCCGCCCAGGGTCAGGCCTATAGACATCTATCAGGGACGGAACAAAAACACACACACACACAGACACACACAGGCACAACTGCTCGTCGAGGTTGGGAAGTGTGGGAAGTGTGGTGGGGGGGGGAAGACGAGTATCGGGGGTGGACAGACCTCCTACCCTGACACGTCGATGAAGGAATTGGCCGTTCTCGGTTCGCGAGAGAGCGTCGCGGCCGTCATTTTTGCGGGTCCACGTCCGTCGGTTTCGGCCCCACGCCGTTTTCACTAAGGGGAGGTTTGCTAAAGGGAGGTTTGTCCACCGCCGAATCAGGGAGGGAAACAAAAACACACAGGCACAATTGCTCGTCGAGATGGGGAAATGCGGGAAGTGCGGGGGGGGGGGGGGGGAAGACGAGTCGGGGAACAACGAGTGGCATAAGCATAAGAACTCGGAGGTCCGCGCGGATTTCTCGGATCGGCGCTGGACCCCCCTCCCTGGCGCGCGGAGCTCGCCAGGGTCGGCGCCAGAGGCGCCGCCTGGGGGCCCCAGCGCCGATCCGAGAAATCCGCGCGGACCTCCGAGTTTTTATGTTTATGCAATTTTTTGTTCCCCTAGAAGTGGGGGGGGAGGGGAGACGAGAGCCCAAAAGAGCACTGCAACATGCAGGGGGGGGCTCCTGGGATGTGTGTGTGTGTGTGTGTGTGTTTACTCTTGTGCCCCTGAGCCCCCTCAATCTAGGATGAAGTCGGGCCTGTCCCTCTACAGGGGGCATATTCAAAAATTGTCAAACAATAGGCTGGGCATTATTTCCTGCGTATTTCCTGACCACTTGGGGATTTGTTCGGTATTTCTTCATTCTTCGTCGCAAATCCCCTTGTAGGGGGACACGCCCGACTTAAATCTGGGACCTGCGGCCCTGGCGGCCCCTGGGGAGGCCTGGGCGTCGTGGAGAGCCCAGGAGCAGCCGGACCCTCCGTGAAGGAACCACCGCGAAACACACAGCACTCGCACGTCGCTCTCATGGGCGCGCGAGTGCCGTGTTCTTTTTCGGCGATCACCACTGAGAGCGCGCGGCGTCGAGAGCGCGTGCGGGTGCACGCGTTTGAGAGCGCCGTGGCCACCAAGTGCGAGCAGGTGCGCGCGCGCCGGGTCCGGCCCTCCTCAGGAGCTCGGCGCGCTGCGGCGGGTCCTTCGCCAGGCTACTTTTATGTTTCGTCGCAAATCCCCCTGTAGGGGGACACGCCCGACTTGAATCTGGTGCGGCCCTGGCTCGGCCCCCCCCCTCCCCGCGGGGTCCGGCCCTCCTCAGGAGCTCGGCGCGCTGTGGCGGGAGTTCCTGGAGCTGGAGCGGGCGCCCGCGCAGAGCCGCCGCAGCCACCTGAGCGAGAGCGGCTCCCACTGGAGGCCCGGGCGCGAGCGGAGCTTGAGCTCGGCATCGCTCGGGCGTGTGCGTTGGTGCATTGTTTTGCCTATGTTTCACGTCTCTTCCAAAATCCCCTCTGCAGGGGGACAGGCCCGAATTAAGCCCATGGGCTGCTCCTCGCGAGGAGCTACCGGGGAACAAGCAGCGACGCAGCCACAGGCACTCGGGGGTCCGTGCGGACTGCTGGGCTCGGCGCCGGACCCCCCTCCTTGGCCGTGGCATCGATCGGGCGTGTGCATGTTTCCTTTGGCGAGGACCAGCGAGGAGCATCCCTGATCATTTGGCGAAGAAGCTACGCACGAAACCGACAAAAAAGCGCAGGGAATCGACGCCCGAGCGATGGCCGGCAAGTCGTCGGGAGCCTCGGGACGGGGGTCCACGCAAAGGGGGGTCCGCCAGAGCGCCCGATCCTGCAGGATCCTGCAGGGCGAGGGGCGCATTGACCCGGGTTTGGGTGCAGGATCCTGCAGGAGCCTTCGCAGTGACCCGGGTTTGGGTGCAGGATCTTGCATCGGGGGCGGCGAAGAGGGGGGTGATGACTGGGGGGGGATCATGGCGGGGGCCATGATATCTCCACAGATTTCTTGGCGCCTCTTCTTTTTTCAATACGTCCAGGGCCCCCCCCCCCTGGGCCGCGCACATGCCGCCGGCCATGAGTTGCGCCCCCCCCTCTTGGACGCCCCCCTCTTGGCCGCTCCCGATTGCAGGATCTTGCAGAATTCTGCAAGGCCTGGCTGACCCGGGTCCAATTGACCCGTGTCAGGAGATCCCCGAAGTCGTCGGAGCTCAAGAGACGGGGGTCAGTGCAAACAGGGGTCCGCCAGGGCACTGGATCCTGTAGGATCCTGCGAAGACCCCGTCTGGCTGACCCGGGTTGGCGAGCCGCTCGTGGCCGCGAGGCGGCTGCGCCTATTGGCTGGCCCGGGTTTGCGAAGCCCTGCGTTGCAGCTGTTTTTGCCTGCATTGCAATTTTTTGGTTTCATGCTGACCCGGGCTTGGATTGACCTGGGTTGTCAGACCCCCGAAGTCGGGCATGTTCTTCTACAGGAGGAATGTTCAAAATGAGTCAATACATAGTTTGGGGACGATGTTTGATTGCTTCGGATTTTTTGTGAGCATCGCTTGAAGATGTTTTATTTGTCTGATATGCCCGACCTAAAGCTAAACGGTGTTTCGGCGAATTCCAGGACCGGGTTCAGTTTGGCTTCGTGCTGCAACAAGCGGAGCGAAGACGGCACGAGGGAGAACAGGAAGAAGGAAAACATAACGGAAATGCAGACATCCATGCAACATGCACGTGATTGCGAGTTGTAGTACCGTAGCCACTTGGGCTCTAGAAAGGTGCCATCAATCAACATCAGCATGGTAGCGGAGCGTGGTCCCCTAACCGCGGAGCCTGCCCGCCTCGGCCATGGAGGAGGCCTTCCGAGCGATGGAGGCCAGGCTGACTGCTGCGGAGCAGCAGATCGCGGAGAGGACGGCCGAGCTCACTGAGGCCAAGCGGGTCATCGACCAGCTGAGCACCGCGGCGCCCGCTGCAGCTGGAGCCGCGGCCGCGCCTCAGCAGCCTAGCCGAGGCGAGAGCTCTCTCGTGGACACAAGGGCTCTGGGCAAGCCGCCGCTGTTTTCGGGCGACCTGACGGCGGACGGCAAGCCAGAGGGAGGTCTGGCGTGGCCGCAGTGGTCATTCACCTTCAGGGCCTACGCCGGCGCGTTCGACCCGAGCTGCAGGGACGCGCTGGAGTACGCAGCCAACAAGGTCGACGACGAGCAGCAGATCAGCAATGTGACGATGGATCTGAATGACAAGAAGCTCTCGTCGCAGATCTACTACGTGCTGGCGCTCACGTGTCGTGGGCGAGCGCTGTCGGTGGTGCAGCGCGTCCCAGAGGGCTGGGGCGTCGAGGCGTGGAGGCAGCTGTGCCGCGAGTTCGAGCCCAGGCTGCCGAGCCGCTTCCAGGGCATGCTGCAGAGGCTGCTCGACCCGGTACGAGGCCCGGACATGTTGGAGAGCATCTACACTTGGGAGCGCCAGCTGAAGGTCTACGAGGAGCAGTCTGGCGACAAGATGGCTGACTCGATCAAGCTGGCGACTTTGACCAACAAGCTCTTGGATGGCCCCCTGAAGACCCACGTCAACCTCCAGGTAGGCCGCCTGCAGACGTACGAGGCTGCGAAGGCCGAGGTGATCTCGTACCTTCGCGCGACGGCCAACCAGGAGGAGGAGCCAGTACCCATGGAGTTGAACCCTGTGACTGGAGAGCTGTGCCCTGTGACACGGGGCAAGGCCGGCAAAGGCAAAGGCAAGGACAAGAGCGGAAAGGGAAAGAGCCACGACGGAAAGGGTAAGAACAAGAAGGTCTGCTTCTACTGCGCCAAGTCGAACCACACGAAGCAGGAGTGCAGGATCTTAGCGAAGGACCGAGCAAACAAGGACATCAAGCCAGACAAGTCGGGACGCTACGCAGGCAAGCCAGTCGACAAGATCACAGGCAAGCGCCTCGGGAGCGAGAATGGCGACATGGCGGCGTTGACGGCCCTGTCTGACGACGGCTACTACTACGACGAGCAGGATGGCTTCGTGTTCGCGCTGACGGAGGGCGAGAACTCCAACGAGATCGAGACGGGTTACTGCTGCGCCCTCGAGGGCGCCGACTTCGACCTGCTCTTTGACACGTGTGCTGCAAGGAGCGTCTGCCCACCCTCGTGGGCACCTGAGGTGGCCATCAAGGAGTGCCGTGGGACGGTGCTCTACCAGGCCGACGGCAGCGAGATCAAGCACTACGGGAAGAAGGAGGTGAGCATGACGGACCAGAACTCTGGCGAGCCGCTGACAGTGAGCTTCGAGGCCAAAGGGGTGCGCAAGCCGATCATGGCAGCGAGTTCTGCAGTTGATGCGGGCTACGGTGTGTGGCTGTACGACGGAGCCAGCTACATCGTGAAGCCCAAGCAGGCGAAGGACTTGGCGAGCCACGTGAAGGACAACATCGGCAAGGGCAAGTCCATCGAGCTGAAGCGGAAGAACGGCATCTTCGTCATCCCAGCTCGTCGGCGCTCGACTGGCGAGCTGTGCCCGACGACGGAGAAGAGCGACGAGCCGAAGCACGTTGGCGGACGGCCCAAGGTAGAGCTCGAGGACAGCGAGGAGGCCAGGAGCGCGACCACCAAGAAGGTAGCGGTCTGGCCGAGCGCGGACGAGAGGGCAAAGCACGAGGTCACTCACTGTCCATTCCGCGTCTGGTGCAGGTACTGCTTGACGGGCCAGGCGACCGAGGATCAGCACAGGAGTCAGGAGTTCGTCTCGACCGTCGCGAAGCTCGCGCTGGACTACTGCTTCCTAGCGCGGGAGGGCGAGCTGCAGAAGGCGACGATACTAGTCATCGTGCTGAGGCCTCTAGGCGCTGTTGGAGCCACGCAGGTGTCGAAGAAGGGAGTTGACGACGTTGCAGTGGAGTTCGTACTCTTCCACCTCGAGGCATGGGGTGTTGGAGAGGTCGTCCTGAGGGCGGACCAGGAGCCCGCCATCCAGGCACTGCTAGGCGAGCTACGCCGACGCCGGGTGGAGCACCACCGCACGACAGTCGAGAAGTCCACGAAGCACGACAGCAAGGCGAACGGCGGGATCGAGGCCGTGGTGCGTAGAGTGGAGTCACTCGCCCGCACGTACGTGGCCGTCATCGAGGAGAAGTTCAAGACCAAGGTGACGAGTCAGTCGGTGATCCTGCCGTGGCTGGTCAGGCATGCGGCCTACGTCATCACGAGGTTCGTCACGAAGAGCGACGGAAGGAGCGCTTGGACAACGATCAAGGGCAAGGAGTTCGCGTCGCCCCTGGCGTGTGTGGGCGAGACTGTGGACTTCAAGCTGATCCGCAAGGACCAGTCGAAGCTCGACCCGCGCTGGGCCACAGGAGTGTTCCTCGGGCGGAGGGACGAGAGTGATGAGGTCATCGTGGGCACGGCGCGAGGGGTCGAGTTCAGCAGGACGTTCAGGAGGCGCGACGACAGCGAGCGGTGGGTCCAGGAGGAGTTCAGGACGTTCGTCGGTGTGCCCTGGAACCCGAGAGCGCCTACGACGGAGACACCGGTGGTGAGTACGAGAAGGAGGTACATCACGCGTGCCCTGATCCAGGAGCACGGCGAGAGCCCAGACTGCCCAGCTTGTCTGGGGCTGTCCAGCGTGCACACGGTGGCGTGCAGGGCTCGGTTCGAGGAGATCTTCAAGGCGAAGGCTGAGCAGCCGATCCAGCTGCAGCCAGCTGTGGGTGCCGCGGGCGCCGAGGCTGCGAGGCCGGTACCACAACAAGCAGCTCCCGCACCGCAGCAGGAGATAGATCCACCTCCAGGACTACAACTGCCAGCAGCCGCAGCACCGAAGAGAGAGAGAGATGCTGAAGCAGCCGAGCCAGCAAGAAAGAGGCCAGTGATCGAGGTGGCTCCTGCTGCGCCCATGGACACCGACCCAGACGGTGAACCCATGACTCTCGGAGCGCTCTGCGAGGAGGAGGTCTCACCTCCAACCTTCGACGGGGAGCTGTTCGCGGGGAGCTTCCACGACCAGTTCACGGGCGAGGTGCTGCCGAAGGAGCTGGTGCTGCAGGGCGTGAAGCGCGAGCTCGACGAGATGGACGAGTTCGAGGCGATGGTCTGGAAGAAGCGCAGCGAGAAGCCAGCTGGTGAGAGGGTGATCTCCACCAAGCTCTTCCACACCAGGAAGGGGCCAGACTGCGTGCGATCGCGGATCGTCGCGCGCGACTTCGCAGGAGGCGTCTTTGCGCCAGAGCACTACGCGGGGACACCACCGACATGGGCGCTGAAGCTGGTGATCTCGAGGTTGGCGTCGAGAGGCAACTCGAGGCAGCTCGCAGCTCACGACATCTCGGTGGCCTTCTTCCACGCAGAACTGAAGGAGCCCGTGTGGGCCGAGCCTCCGAAGGAGCTGAACTGCCCCGACTGGCTCTGGCTGGTGAGTAAGGCGCTGTACGGGATGCGTGAGTCGAGCGCGGACTTCCAGCAGCTGGTGCGCGACACGTACCGAGAGCACGGCTGGAACATCTTGTCGACGGTCCCCTGCTTGGCGTACCACAGCGAGTGGGACTGCCTGTCGGGCTTCCACGGGGACGACTTCTACACCGAGGGCGAGCCGCGCGAGCTGGACAAGGTGGACGCAATGATCACGGGCAACTTCAAGGCCAAGATCCTCCCGAGAGTTGGTCCAGCCGCTGAAGAGCAAGGCCTGGTGCTACGACGGCTTCTACTTTGGAGCGCGAAGGGGTTCATGCTGCTGCCTGACCCGAAGCACTTCGAGAACCTGAGCACGTTGCTGGACCTGAAGAACGTGAAGCCTTCCCCGACGCCTGTCAGCCGGGCGACTGGCAAGAACGCGAGGGATGCCCTGGAGGAGCTGAAGCGGACCGAGAAGGCGATCTACTGCAGGGGCACGGGCATCTGCATGTACATCGGGCCAGACCGCTTCGACATCCAGTTCGCCACCAAGCAGCTGGCGTCGGATATGGCGCATCCGACGCGCCTGAGCATGATGCGGCTCAGGAGGTTGGCACGCTACCTCGCGGGGACGCACGACGTCGGGATCGAGTTCCTCTACCAGGAGAAGTGGACGGACGTGGTTGTTTACTCCGACGGCGACTGGAGCGGCGACGTGCAGACATGCAAGAGCACGTCGGCGGGGACCATCCAGGTCGGAGATCCTGGCGCTGGTCATCTCATCGAGAGCTGGAGCATCACGCAGGGCGCTGTTGCACTCAGCAGCGCAGAGTCGGAGTTCTACGCCATCGGCTCGGCAGCAGCGCGCGGCATCACAGTCAAGCAGGTGATGCTCGAGATCGCTGAGCTCGGAGCTGGTGTGCCGGCAGACGTGAGGCTGATCATTCGCACGGACTCGGACGCGGCCCGTGGGATGATCCACAGAGTAGGCTGCGGGCGTGTACGGCATCTACAGACCAGGTACCTTTGGCACCAGCAGGCGCTGAGGGAGAAGCAGTTCGAGGTTGAGAGAGTGGACGGCAAGAAGAACCCGAGTGATGCAGGCACGAAGCCGCTGGAGCAGGAGGCGCTGCAGGTCTGCATGAGGAGCCTCGGGATCGTGAGCAGGAAGATCGCTGGCTTCGGGACGGACGAGGCCAGCCAGGTCTTGGCGACGCTGCTGCTGTTCGCGGCGGCGCAGACCGCCAACGGAGCGCCGTACATGGAGCCCAGCACGGGGGCCCAGGGTACGATCGTGGAGGTCGCCTGCTCGGCAGGCGGGAGCGAGTCGCAGGGCGGTGGCATGCAGCTCACCGCGTTCATGATGGTCATCCTGATCTTCATTGGGATTGCGACGGGCGTGCTCATCGAGAGGTACGTGCTGGAGAAGCGCCACGAGGAGCGCCGCGAGGAGCGCCGTGAGGTGACCGTACGCCTTCGAGACGCGGGCGTGCAGGTCGAGCCAGCACCCAAGCGCTGCGAGGAGAAGGGCAGTCAGGGCCCTTGCACGTACGCGAGGCATCGTGCTCAGCCTCGGTTCGTGCCCCTGCCAGATGTGTCGTGGGGTTGAGAAGCTCCCGCGGGCTACGGAGTGAGCTGGCGCGAGGCTGTAGGCCACAGCCCGCTTTAGGAAGAGCTGCAGGCGGCAACAGAGAGAGAGACCGGTATAACGCGTTCAGTTTTAACGTGCTCCGGCGGAGCGTTTCCGGAGCACGCTGTTTTCGCTTCAGCGTCGATCGGACTGATCACCCGATGATGCGCTGGAGCCACGAGTTCGGAGCTACGGACGAGTGCAAGTTGCTAAGGCCAGCTTGCACCCTCGAGGGTGCCGCGCTGAGGAGGCGTGCAGACATCCATGCAACATGCACGTGATTGCGAGTTGTAGTACCGTAGCCACTTGGGCTCTAGAAAGGTGCCATCAATCAACATCAGCAGGAAAGCACAAGGCTCGAAGAAGAAAAAACGGCATCAACATCAATGTCTGGCGCTCCGCGCGGATTTCTTAGACCCGCGCTGGGCCCCCCTGGCGGCCGGTCCCGGCGCGCCCCGCGCGCCAGGGAGGGGGGCCCCAGCGCGGGTCCAAGAAATTCGCTCGGAGCGCCCAAAGTGTGTGTGTGTGTGTTAGTGTGTGTGTGTGTTGTGTGTGTTGTGTGTGTGTTGTGTGTTTGTGTGTGTTGTGTGTGTGTGTTGTGTGTGTTGTGTGTGTGTGTTGTGTGTGTTGTGTGTGTGTTGTGTGTGTGTGTTGTGTGTGTGTTGTGTGTGTGTGTTGTGTGTGTTGTGTGTGTGTGTTGTGTGTGTGTTGTGTGTGTTGTGTGGGGTTGTGTGTGTTGTGTGTGTGTTGTGTGGTGTGTGTTGTGGGTGTGTTTGTGTGTGTGTTGTTGTGTGGTCGTTGGTGTGTGGTGTGTGGGGGTGGTGTGGGTGGTGTGTGGGGTGTGTGGATAGGGACTGTGTGGGTGTTCTGTGTGTGTATGCAGGTGGTGTGTGGGTGGTTGTGGGGGGGTGTGTGTGTGTGTGTGTATATGGGTAGGTGTGTGGTGCTCTGTGTGTTTCCTGTGTACTGTGGTTGTGTGATTGTGGTGTGGTGTATGCTTAGTGTGATTAGTGTCTGATTAGTGTTCGCTGTTAGTTGTTAGTGCGTTAGTGCGAGTGTTAGTGGGTTAGTGTTAGTGTTAGTGTATGTGGTTAGTGGTATTAGCGTTAGATGTTTAATAACAAAAAGTGTTTAGTATATTAGTGAGCTGTGTGTGTGCTTGCATTCGCTGTGCAGTAAGTGTGTGTGTGTTAGTGTGTGCGTGTTAGTGTGTGTTTGTTTAGTTGTCTTGGGGTTCGTGTGTGCTGTGTGGTGTGTTGTATGGTGTTGTGTGTGTTGTGTGTTGTGTGTTGTGGATGTTGTTGAGTTGTGTGTTGTGATGTGTTTGTGTGATAGTGTATATGTGTGGTTATAGTGTGTGTGTGTGTGTGTGTGTGTGTGTGTGTGTGTGTGTGTGTGTGTGTGTGTGTGTGTGTGTGTGTGTGTGTGTGTGTGTGTGTGTGTGTGTGTGTGTGTGTGTGTGTGTGTGTGTGTGTGTGTGTGTGTGTGTGTGTGTGTTTGCACCGTTTTCTCTCAGGAGGGGAAAAAACACACAGACACAATCGATCGTCGATTCCTCAGGGAATATGGGAAAATCTGGGAAATGGGGGGGAAGGCAAACCCAGAAAACATTAGAAAGTATGGGGAATCCTGCTATTTGTGTATATTTATTTGTGTGTCCCAGGACCCCTTCACAAAAGTGTGTGTATGTTCACAAAAGAGGAGGAGGAGGAGGAGGAGGAGGAGGCGGAGGAGGAGGGGAGGGGAGGGGGGGGAGGGGGAGGGGGGGGGAGGGGGAGGGGGAGGGGAGGGGGAGGGGAGGGGGGGAGGGAGGCAGAAAGACAAAGAGAACCAGGCCCAGGGGCCCACCCTGGGCCTCCCGGGAGCCTCCAGAGCTCTCTCCTCGCCCAAGCTCGGCCCGCGCCACCGCCGGAGGCTGCGGCAGCTCAGCCAGTACGTGGGCGCCTTCCAGGCGCTGGCGGCCCCGTGGTGCCCGGCCGCCGCGCCCGGCGGCGGCCTCGAGCGCGCGGGCGAGCCCCTGGGCGCTTGGATCCAGATGGACAGCCTGCCGCAGTTCCTGGTGGCGGAGCAGGACGACCGACGTGGGTGAGCGGTGGGCTTGGCATCGCTCGGGCGTGTGCCTTGTTCCTTCGGCGAGGGCCGTCGAGGAGCATCCTTGATCACTTGGCGAAAAAAACACGCACGAAACCGAGAAAAACACAGGGAGTGGACGTCCGAGCGATGGCCAGGACGTGGGTGAGCAGTGGGGAAGCCGACCCCGGCGCCCCCGCAGCAATGGATTTGGAGACGTCAGCGTTCTACAATCATGGCGAGTGTAAGTAGGTGCAGGCGCCTTGTAAGGGACTTGGCATCGCTCGGACGTGTGCATTTTGTTCTCGGCGAAAACCATCGAGGACCATCCTGGACCATCGAGCAAGAAAAAACACGCACGAAACCAGAAAATGCACGGGAAATGAACGTCCGAGCGATACCGAGGGGAGGCCATAGCCAGCTACCGCAGTGGGGGGGCCCGCGCGCGCGGTCTAGTTGGTCTAAAGTTCCTCATGTGGGGGGCGGGGGGCGGTTTTCATGCGTTCAATGGGTACGGAAAAAATGGGTACAATACCCAACAGCGGATCCTACTCCTCTTGAACAGGGCTCGCTGTCCGCGAGGCCGTGGCCCGTGTGCCCATTCCGGGCAGGAGGCCGCCTGCCCAACAGCGGCCGCTGTTTGGTTTGGGACAACATTTTGTTATTGGGCATCGTACCCATTTGTTGTTATTGTTGTTGTTGATGTTGTTGTTGTTGCTGTTGTTGGCGAAACCACTCAGTGGCGCCGTGCCCAACCCCCCCCCGGCGCAACGCAACGCAACGCAACGCAACGCCCGTTACCCCGAATCCGATAGGAATCCTATAGGAAGCCTGTAGGAAACCTATCGGACCTTTATGATTCTTATGGGACCCCATAGGAATCCCATGGGAATCCTATATAGGTTTTTGTTTCGGATTCCTACGGGAATCCCATCGGAATCCTTTCTGGGAATCTTATAGGGCCTCTACGAATCATATACGGATCTTATACGGATCCTTGAAGGATCCGGCCTCTACGAAGCCTAAAGGAATCCTATAGGAATCCCAGAGGAAGCCTATAGGGCAACTACGAATCTCATAAGGATCCGATAGGAGTCCTATGGGAATCCTAGAGGGCCTCTACGGATCTTATAGGAACCCCATTGGAATCCCATAGGAATCCTATAGGGCCTGATTCCTACGGGAACCCTAAAGGGTTCCTATGGGAATCCTATAGGGCCTCTACGAATCCTATGGGAATCCTACAGGAATCCTACGGGAATAGTACAGGGCTTCTCCCATCCCTCTAGGAATCCCATCGGAATCCTATAAGGCCTCTACGAACCCTACAGGAATCCGATGGGAATCCCATACTAATCATATAGGGCCTTCCTACGAATCCCATGGGAATCCTATAGCAAACTCATGGGATCCGATAGGGCCTCTGCGAATCTTATAGGATGTCTATAGGAGTCTCGTAGGATTCCTAGAGGGCTTGTACGAACCCTATAGGATTCATCGGAATTTGATAAGAATCCCAGATGGCCTGTACATATCTTATAGGACTCTCATCGGGGTCCTATAGGGCTCTCACGAATCCCATAGGAATCCTATATGATGTCTTATACGTATCCTATAGGGCCTCCACGAATTCTCTAGGAACCCGATGGGGATATCTATAGGATTCCTAGAGGGCCTCTACGAATCTTATAGAAATCCTGCAGGAGTCCCATGAGAATCCTATACGGCCTCTGCGAATCTTATAGGAAGGGCCTTTCTACGAATCCTATAGGAATCCTGCGGGAAGCCTGTACGAATCCTATGGGAGTCATATTTAGGAATATTTAGGAATCCCATAGGGCCTCTGGCCTCACAGGGAGTTCCTCCGAAGCTTCATTTCGGCATACCCCTCTCGAGGATCGTGGCCCTGGCCTCAGAGGGCTCCTCGAAACTTCATTTCAGCACACCCTTCTCGAGGATCGTGGCCCTGGCCTCACACAGGGTTTCTCCGAAGCTTCATGTCGGCACACCCCTCAAGGATGATCGAGGCCCTGGCTCCACACCCCTCTCGAGGATCGCGGCCCTGGCCGCACAGGGAGCTCCACCGAAGCTCCATTTCGGCACACCCCTCTCCAGGATCGTCGCCCTGGTCCCACAGGGAGCCCCACCGAATTTTCATTTCGGCACACCTCTCGAGGACCGTGGCCCTGGCCCATAGGGAGCTCCACCGAAGCATCATTTCGGCACACCCCTCTCGAGGATCGTGGCCCTGACCCCACAGGGAGGCCCACCGAAATTTTATTTCGGCACACCCCTCTCGAGGATCGTGGCCCTGACCCCACACGGAGCCCCACCGAAGCATCATTTCGGCACACGTTTCTCGAGGAACGTGGCCCTGGCCCCACAGGGAGCTGTTTTCGTTCCCGTGCCGGCCCAGTTTCTGACTCGCCTCTGCCGTGCAGGAGGCACGGCGGCGGATTTGACTCCCGTGGCTCTGGTGACCTTGCGGCTGACGTGGGCACGCTCCTTTCCTTCTCTTCATTTGAGGTTCAAGCCATTTGGGCATGCGCCTCCCCCCTCTGGGGCAGGCCACTGAGGGACGCCGGGCAACACGCCGGGACCCATGGGGATTCTATGGCATCCCTTGGGGACTCTATGGCATCCCTTAGGGATTCTATAGCATCCCTTAGGGATTCTATAGCAGCCCTTATGGATTCTAGAGCATCCCTCAGGGATTCTATAGCATCCCTCAGGGATTCTATGGCATCCCTTAAAGCTTCTATAGCATCCCGTTAAACTTATATAGCATTTCCTTAGGGATTATATAGCATTCCTTTTCTAGGGATTAGTTAGCATCCCTCTCTAAGGATTCTATGGCATTCCTCAGGGATTCTGTAGCAGCCCTTAGGGATTCTATAGCATCCCTTAGGGATTCTATAGCAGCCCTCAGGGATTCTATAACATCCCAAGGATTCTATGGCATACCTCAGGAATCCCACAGCATCCCGTAAGGATTCTATAGCATCCCGTAAGGATTCTATAGCATCCCTTAGGGATTATATAGCATCCCGTAGGGATTCTATAGCATCCCTTAGGGATTCTATAGCAGCCCTCAGGGACTCTAGAGCATCCTTTTAAGGGCTCTATAGCATCCCTTAGGGATGCCCTATGGGATTCTATGGCAGCCCTAAGGGATTCTATGGCAGCCCTTGGGGATTCCATAGCATCGCTTAGGGATTCTGTAGCAGCCCTTCGGGATTCTATAACATCCCTTCAAGATTCTGTAGCATCCCTTAGGGATTCTATAGTATCCCTTAGGGGCTCGGCAGCCTTCCCTTAGGAATTCTATAGCATCCCTTACGGATTCTATAGCATGCCCGAAGGTTTCGGCTCGGGGGAGCGCACATAGTTTCAGTACGTGGGAACGCGTCGGCTTTCTTAAGAACCCCGAAGGATTCCGGAGGACTTTCCAACGGCTTCCTTTGGTTTCTGTTGCCAGCCATATGTTGCGTTGCATTGCGTTGCGTTGCCGGGGGGGATCCGGGTCCACCAGTGAGATGTCTCGCCACAAGGAGCGAAACAGCGAGCTGGTAGACCCTCACCAGGTCCACCAGCCGGTTGTTGTTGTTGTTGTTGTTGGTGTTGTTGTTTTGCAACGACATCTGTTGCTGTCTGGGACGACGTCTGCTGCTGGGCATCGTACCCATTTTTTCCCATGGGCGTCCGAAGAGGCGGCGGCGCCGCTTCCGCAGACCGGCGCAGTGCCGCCGCCCGGGGTCGACCCGTTCGGCGAGGGCGGCTGGACGGAGAGGCGCACGGGAGGCGATGGGTCGAGCAGCGGCGAGGCGTCCTGGCCATGGGGGGGTACGTTTGGAGTTCTGCTTAACCTCCTGCCCAAGATCCCCCTTGTATCGGGGGAGAAAAAGATACGGATACGTGTTGTCCCCCTTCGTTTTCGGCCTTTCCTGGTCCTCCTGGGGAATCCTCGTTGTCACCGCTGGATTCGCCTCGAAATTCTGGTCAGAACGCACCCCAAGAGAGGTCCGGGGACAACACGTATCCGTATCTTTCCGCCCCCCAACTGTAGGGGGACAGGCCCGAGCTGACGCAAGCTCCGAGGGGGAACAGGTGCCCACACCGCCAAGCTTTCCTCGTGCTCCCCGCTTCTCTGCGGCCTCCTGGGAGGCCCCTGTGGCCACCGCCGGAGGCGCCTCGAACCATCCTGGTCAGAACGCGCCCCGAGAGGGGTCGGCGCCCAATGCATCACCGCCTACCAAACCACCCCAACCCAACCCGAAGGCTTCAATTTGCCCTCCATCTCCAGTGTGGGGGGGCAGGAGGACGTTGGAAAAACACATGGGACCCGTACCCCCCCCAAACCCGAAGTTCGGGTCAGATTCGGGTCTTCGGGTTAAGTTGGGGTGGTCTGGTAGGTAGTCACTGTAGGCCCACCAAGGAGTGTTCTGGAAGCCTGCTGCGGTCTGCACGAAATGTTCTTGGAACGCTTCTGGCTGAGACCGTCTTGTCTTAACATATCGGGCTCACGTTCTGAGAACAAGAGTGTTGTTATTAGAATACCTGCTGGGTTCTTAGAACATGCCGTGGTGGGCCTGTCTGTAGGACGGGCGGCCCCTGCCCAAGACATGCGCGCGCAAGTTGCCTGCGTGAGGTCTTCCGCGCCAGCGCCCGTTTGTCTGGCCAGAGCGTCGCGCCGGTTGCCCGTGTACACCATCGCGTAAGGCCTCCTGGTGTCTCGCGAGTTCTGCCGGTGGTGACTCAGGTCGTCGTCGTCGACGCCGTCAAAACCCGGTGAGAGTCGGTCCCCGTAAATCTCCCCAGGTCTGGCCTCCAAGGCCTTTGCATCGTCACCGCGCATCTTTATGATAGGGGTTGACTGCAACCTCAGATGCGACGACGACGCCGCCGCGGCCGTCGGTCGTCTTCCTCGTCGCCGTCGCTAGTCAACATTGTCGTCGTCATTGTCGTCGTCGTCGTCTTCGTCGTTGTCTTCTTGGTCGCCGTCTTCGTCATCGTCGCCGCCACTCGGCGGCGAGCGAGAGGGGGAAGTGAGAAGGAGAAGGCCTTCTCGGAGGGCCCAGAAGCCCCACGGTCTCCTGAGCAGCTTCCGGAGCCTTCCCCAAGGGAGGAGAAGAGGTCCGCGAGGGCGCGAGGGCTCCCGAGACGTCCCGCCGCCTTCTGAGAAGGCAAGGGCGCCCTCGAGGGCGCGAAGTTCTTCGCGTTTCGCGCTTCGCGGTGCGGTTCCGATTCCTCCTCGTCCTTCTCTTCTCCCCTGGGAGGCGGCGCGAGAGCGCGGAGTTATATTCGCACTCCGCGCCGCGCGCCGCGCGAGAGCGCGAGGTTGGGAGCCCCTGGGAAGGCCTTCCCCCTCTCGTGACCCCCCGCGCGCCGCCGCTGCCGCCCGCTGCCCGCCGGCGCCCCAGCGCTCCACAGGTGTCGGGGGCGGACAGAACCCCCAATAGTGACACGTCGATTAGTGAGTTGTCCGTTTTCGGTTCTCGAGAGGGCGCCGCGGCCGTTATTTTCCAGGCTTGCGTCCGCCAGGTTTGGGTCTCAGGTCGTTTTCACTAAACCACGTTTTACTAAAGGGAGGTCTGTCCATCCCCGAAGGTGGCACGGCGGCTGGGAGACGGCCCTCGTGGCCCTCGGCGTGCCGTCCCTGGGCAGGCTCGGGGAGCCGCAGGGCCGGGAGGTGCTGAGCCGCGTGGTGGTGGACGCCGTGCTGATGCCGCTCTGCGAGAGGCCCGCGGCCAGAGCCTCCAGGGGGGGGGGGTTAGGCCTACAGCGCCGGTTTTTATACGTGCTCCGCGTGCGGACCATGTATCAAAAATGCAGGGACGTAGTACTAAAAACAACGATGAGTTCATGCGTACATGTATTAATAATTTAATCATGCGCTAAAAATCCTATGTTTGACGAAAAACCTATGTATTAAAAACTGCCCTGTAGGGTTAAGTCGGGCCCGTCCCTCTACAGGAGGCGTTTTTTTTTGTTTGAGGGGGGGGGGGGTCGCTGCCCCCAGGGGCCCTCGCCGTCAACACAAAGAAATGGCTCGGGGCGCAAGAAGCTGGCCCGATACAGTCAAGACGCTGAAATAAGGTACCATATCTCATGGGAAGAATTGGTCTAACCAGGGTCGGCCGGAGGAGGTTGGCCGGGAGGGTTAGCCCGATCTCCGGAGGTTGGCCAGGAAGGTTGGCCGGGTCCGTCGTCGCACGAGTTGGCATTGCGTTGTTCAGAAGGGTTGGCCGGGATTGGCCGGGGGTTTGGTCCCTCCACAGGAGGAGAACATTCCAAAATTGTACAACAAATTACCTTGGCGACGTACCCAACCCCTGCGCAATGCGGGGCATGAGTAGCTTGGGAGACGTTATACGGAGGTGTTGACGTGACATGGGCGCATATACTTCTGCGAGCGGCATTCGTGAGGCTCGCAGCCCCCCAAGGATTGCGATGTCCCGCTCAGATCTGCCTGGTGCCTCGCTCCGCTAGACCCACCAGCAGCCCTCGAAAGCGGCGACAGTTTCGCAGATCGCTGCCCCCGCGCGGTGCCTCACTCCGCAGGACCCACCAGCAGCGCTCGAAAGTGGCCACAGTTTCGCAGATCGCAGCCCCCCAGGGATGGCGAGGTCCCGCTCAGGTCCGCGCGGTGCCTCACTCCGCAGGACCCACCAGCAGCGTTCGAAAGTGGCGACAGTTTCGCAGATCGCAGCCCCCCAGGGACGGCGAGGTTCCGCTCAGGTCCGCGCGGTGCCTCACTCCGCAGGACCCACCAGCAGCCCTCGAAAGTGGCGACAGTTTCGCAGATCGCAGCCCCCCAGGGACGGCGAGGTCTCGCTCAGATCTGCGCGGTGCCTCACTCCGCCGGACCCACCAGCAGCCTTCGAAAGTGGCGACAGTTTCGCAGATCGCAGCCCCCCAGGGAGGCGACGCTCAGATCCGCTCGGTGCCTCACTCCGCAGGACCCACCAGCAGCGTTCGAAAGTGGCGACAGTTTCGCAGATCGCAGCCTCCCAGGGACGGCGAGGTCCCGCTCAGATCCACGCGGCGCCTCACTCCGCAGGACCCACCAGCAGCCCTCGAAAGTGGCGACAGCTTCGCAGATCGCAGCCCCCCAGGGACGGCGAGGTTCCGCTCAGGTCCGCGCGGTACCTCACTCCGCAGGACCCACCAGCAGCGTTCGAAAGTGGCGACAGTTTCGCAGATCGCAGCCCCCCAGGGACGACGAGGTCCTGCTCAGGTCCGCGCCGTGCCTCACTCCGCAGGACCCACCAGCAGCCCTCGAAAGTGGCGACAGCTTCGCAGATCGCAGCCGCTCCGCGGGACCCACCAGCAGCCCTCGAAAGTGGCGACAGTTTCGCAGATCGCAGCCCCCCAGGGATGGCGAGGTCTAATTTGAATCTGCCCGTGGCCTCACTGTGCTGGCCCCCCCGCAGGCCTCGAAAATGGCGACAGTTTCACAGATCGCAGCCCCCCAGAGATGGCGAGGTCTAATTTGGGTCCGCGCGTGGCGTCACTGCGCTGGGCCCCCCGCAGGCCTCGAAAGTGGCGACAGTTTCACAGATCGCAGCCCCCCAGAGATGGCGAGGTCTAATTTGGGTCCGCGCGTGGCGTCACTGCGCTGGGCCCCCCAGCAGGCCTCGAAAGTGGCGACAGTTTCACAGATCGCAGCCCCCCAGGGATGGCGAGGTCTAATTTGGGTCCGCGTGTGGCGTCACTGTGCTGGGCCCCCCAGCGAGGCCTCGAAAGTGGCGACAGTTTCACAGATCGCAGCCCCCCAGGGATGGCGAGGTCTAATTTGGGTCCGCGCGTGGCGTCACTGTGCTGGGCCCCCCAGCAGGTCCCTCGAAAGTGGGCGACAGTTTCACAGATCGCAGCCCCCCAGGGATGGCGAGGTCTAATTGAGGTCGCGCGTGGCGTCACTGTGCTGGCCCCCCAGCAGGCCTCGAAAGTGGGACAGTTTCACAGATCGCAGCCCCCCCCAGGGATGGCGAGGTCTAATTTGGGTCCGCGCGTGGCGTCACTGTGCTGGGCCCCCCAGCAGGCCTCGAAAGTGGCGACAGTTTCACAGATCGCAGCCCCCCAGGGATGGCGAGGTCTAATTTGGGTCCGCCCGTGGCGTCACTGTGCTGGGCCCCCCAGCAGGCCTCGAAAGTGGCGACAGTTTTACAGATCGCAGCCCCCCAGGGATGGCGAGGTCCCATTTGAAACACTGTGCTGGGCCCCCCAGCAGGCCTCGAAAGTGGGGACAGTTTCACAGATCGCAGCCCCCCAGGGATGGCGAGGTCTAATTTGGTCCGCCCGTGCGTCACTGTGCTGGGCACCCCCAGCAGGCCTCGAAAGTGGCGACAGTTTCACAGATCGCAGCCCCCCAGGGATGGCGAGGTCTAATTTGAGTCTGCCCGTGGCGTCACTGTGCTGGGCCCCCCAGCAGGCCTCGAAAGTGGCGACAGTTTCACAGATCGCAGCCCCCCAGGGATGGCGAGGTCTAATTTGAGTCCGCCGTGGGTCACTGTGCTGGGCCCCCCAGCAGGCCTCGAAAGTGGCGACAGTTTCACAGATCGCAGCCCCCCAGGGATGGCGAGGTCTAATTTGGGTCCGCGCGTGGCGTCACTGTGCTGGGCCCCCCAGCAGGCCTCGAAAGTGGCGACAGTTTCACAGATCGCAGCCCCCCGCAGGCAAGACAGGAGGAGGCAAGAGGGAGGCGGGACGGGAGGCAGGAGGGAGGAAAGGAGGAAGTGGAAACCACATTGCTCTATTCAAAACGAAAACCCAACCAAGGAGGGTTGGCAAATAGTATGGGGACGATGTTTCGACCATCTTCTGGATAATTTTGGGTATTTGTTGACAATGTTTTTGTAGTTTTCGTCCAAAACTGGCCTGTAAAGGGACATGCCCGACCTGAGGATAGGCTTAGGGTTATGATGTTCCAACCTACTTTAGCCTTGATCACCAGAGAGAATTTCGAGCGCCCCAAAAAGTACCCCAAAACTCTAGTGTTTGCACGTGTCGGGCCCTGGGAGACACTCGCCCGACACTGTTTCGACACTCGTTTGACACTTTTCCGGGTGCTCGAAATTATTTCTGGGATGTGGTCCTCAAGCAGGATGAAAACCACACAATTGTAGGGGGACATGCCCGACCTGAGGATACAGTCGGGGCCTTGACGAAGGAACGCTTTTCGTTGGGGAGGGGTTCGGTGTTCCTTGATTGTTTTACAATTTGCTTCGGGCTTCCCTTAGGTAGGTTTCTGCATGGGAAATCGAAGTTTAACTTGTGGAAAAGAGGGGCCTCGTTCCTTATTTTGGGTTCCTTAGGTCAACGCCCCGACTGTAGGTTAAGGGGGGGCGGGGGGCTTCGGCGCGGTTCTGCACGGTTTTGCTCGGCGGTGCCCGGCAGTTCTCCGGCTGCGGAACATGCCCTCCGGCAGCCGCGCGTCGCGCCGCTCGGGCGCTCCCCGGGAAGCTTCTTGGACCGTCCGTCGCGAAGGGCCGCCGGAGAGCGGAACTTTTGGCCCGAAAGCCACCAGGGCCAGGGGGGAACGCCCGGGGGGGGATGGGCGCGGGGGGGGGGTTCGGAGGTGGACAGGCGGTAGACCTCTTGCCCTGACACATCGATTGGCGAGTTGGCCGTTTTCGGTTTGCGAGGGGGCGTCGCGGCCGTCATCTTTTGCGGGTCCGGGTCCGCCGGCTTCGGTCCCAGGCCGTTTTCACTATGAGGGGAGGTTTGCCAAAGGGAGGCTTGTCCGCCGCCGAGGAAGCCACCAGGGGGGAACGCCAGGGGGGGGGGATAGGCGCAGGGGGGGAGGCAGCGGCACCCAAGCTAGGGAGCTGGGAAGCACACCGCTCAACAGGAAATCATCAGACACAGTGCCCTACAGCATCAAGACGTCTGAGATTGGTCTGCTACCAGAGCTACAACTGAACAACTGCTTGCACTCTGAAATTTGTTCTGAAAGATCCTGTTTCTTTTCTGTATTTTATTCGAGCTGCAGGCTGCAGCTGAGATATACACCAACGGACAGAACATGCAGAGAAGCGCTAGTTGAAAGCCGCCCATGGACCGCAGGCAGGGGGGTCCGAGAGCCCCAGCCCGCCCCGGGAGCGCGCAGAGGTGTGCCACCAAGGGGCCCGTCGCCGAGCTGCGTCGGCGATGCGTCGCCGAGTCCGGGCCGATGTTCCCCCTCCCCCTTGGGATGCCAGTCGCCCCCCTTATCTCAGGAGGGAAAGGAAAAAACCACGGACGCAAGCAACCGTCGATCCCCAGGGAAAGATGGGAAGCGGGGGGGAAGACGGTAACCCAGCAAGAAACGATGGGAAGTAGTAGGTGGAGTCCTTGGATTTGTGTGAATTCATCTGTGTGTCCTTGGGCCCCTTCACTATCGTTGCCCCGCATCCCAGATCCTGAGACCTGGGCGCTGCACTTTCGTTCACGCCGGACGTCATCGCCGGGCTTCCGAGACCCGGGGCCTTCCCATGGGATCGACCCGCCTCGAGAGTTACCGCAGGAAGATGGGGCCCAGGGTTGTGGTCGTGTTGTGTCGCGATGTTGCAATGTTTGCCCGCAACGTCGGGTCCCAGGGTCTGGGCTTCAGTCGGGCGTTTCCCGCTACATAAGAAATCTTCAAGAAAAAGATTAACAAATAGCATGGGTACGATGTTGGGATGATTGCTTGATTATGTTTTTGAGCATTTGGGGATAACTGTTATTTTTCACACAGAATCCGCCTGCAGGAGGACATGCACGACCTAAGTCTGGGCATAGGCTCCCGAGATGGCCCCAGAGGCGCCCAGTGGGTGCACAAAATGGCCCAGGGGGGCCCCAAGATCGCCACCAAGGAGGGGCGCCGAGCCGACGTGTCACACGCGTCCCCCTCTTCACGGGGAAGCAGGGTCCTGAGGTTAGGTCGGGCACGTCCCCCTACAGGAGGAGTAGTCAAAACTAGTCAAAGCAATAGTCCGGATACCATTTTTTCGCAAGTTTTGATTGCGTTGTGTATTGTACTCTTCTTGCTTTTCGCCCACAATCCGCCTGTAGGGGGACATGCCCGACCTGATCCTGAGGGCAACGGGCCTTCGTCTTTTTCAGAGGAAGGCCAGCCGAGTCGACGGCGCCCTCAAAAATAGTCAAAGAAATAGTCCAGATATTATTTTTGTTTCGCAATGTTTGATTACGTTGTGTATTGTGTTGTTCTTGACGTTCGCCCACAATCCGCCTGTAGGCCACATGCCCGACCCAATCCTGAGGGCGAGGGGCCTTCGCTTTTTCAGAGGAAGCCCGGCCGAGTCGACGGCGGGGCCTCCCTGGCGGTCTCCTTCCCTGTGGGGCCTCAGGGAGGCTTCTCGTGGATCCGCCTCGAAAAACGCGCCAGCATGGACCCGAGAAGGGGTAAAAAAATATACGAAAAAACATACAAAAAACAAACCTGTGGGAAAAAAGCACACCCACAGTGTGTGTTGTTTCCCACAGTGTGTGTTTTGTGTGTGTGTGTTTTTCCCACAGTGTGTGTTTTCTGTGCGTTTTGTTTCCCACTGTGTTTTTTCCCACGGGGCAGATTAGAGCGGATCAAAAGACTCCTGGTTTCCCAAATGGGGTCCGAACTGATGGGATCGGGGGATCGATCGGTGCGCATCGGCGAGGCATCGGCGATGCGGCTCGATGTGTGGCACGATTGTTTCCAAGCCGACGTCGCCGACCCATCGCCGACGTCGGCGATGAATCGCCGATGAGTCGCCGATGCATCGGCGATGCGGCGTGCTCCTTTGACCCCATCTACTCGGACCCCATTTTTGGAGGGGCCGCTGGGGGCGACATGAGCGTAAATCCAGGAGGGAAAAGCACGGACGCGAATAGCCGCCGATCCCCATGACTACATGGACAGGATGGGAAACGGAGGGGAACGACGAACCTCGCGAAGCTCTGGAAGAGCACGGGAAATCTTGGGATTCGTGCCTGTCTGTGTGCGCATCTTTGGGCTCCCTCTCCACGGGAGCGCCCACGCGCAGAGAGGTCCGCGCGGATCTCTCCGATCTGGCCCCCGCGCCCCGCGCCCGCACGGAGGGGGGGGGGGGGGGGGGGGGGGGCACAGCCGCTCCCGCAGAGCCGCGCGGGCCCCCGAAGATGTCTGGTCGGCGTCGCCGACTGCACCTCCAGCGAGGAGGGGCGCGTCGTCCCCCCGGCCGTTTCACGTCAACTCAGGAGGGAAAGAAGCACACAGACACAATGTAATCGTCGACGTCCAGGAGAATATGGGAGAAGATGGGACGAGGGGGGAAGGCAAAAACCCAGAAGATATGGGGAAATATGGGGACTCCTGTGATTTGTGTGTATCTATTTGTGTGTGTGTGTCCCTGGGCTCCTTCGTAAACGCTTTACACGTCTCGCACGCACGCCTCACCATACACAGCGTTTGGGAGGCCACGGCCTCTCTCGCCTGGTCTCGAGTAGGCCCAGGCTGCTGTCCACACTGGGGGGCGGGGTCATGTTTCTTGTTGTCCTCCCTCCTACCCGAGGTACAGTCAGGGCGCTGAGGAAGGAACCCGTTTCGTTGGGGAGGGGCTCGGCGTTCCTTAGTTGTCTTGCAGTTCGCCTTGGGTTTTGTTTGGGGCTTCGATGGGAAATCAAAGTTTAACTTATGGGAAAAAGGGGCCTCGTTCCTTACTTAGTGTTCCTTAGGTCAACGCCCCGACTGTACGGTCGGACCGAGGTAAAAGATCGAGGTCGGTTCGGAGAGGGAACCCTGCTTGTTGCTCGTGTCTGTTGGATGTTCTTGTGCCTCCTGGGGGAGGGCACCCTCGAGTGCTCTTCCGTTTGGCCGGCGGAGAGTATCATGTTCTCGGAGGGTGTTTTCTTGTCCTAGGTCCGGCCGTATGTTTAGGTTTGTGGGTCTCACGTCACACCATCGCTGGACAGCCAGGACGAGTAAAAAACCGTTCCAGAGCGTCCCAGGACGCTTTCAGAGCGTTCTGGAACGCCCTGAGAAGGTTGCGTCGCCCGAGATCCTCCAGAGCCGCGGGGTCTCGGAGATTCTCGATGTATCATCACCCAAGTTTTGTCTTCGTCCTGGCTTTGTCTCACATCCCCTCAGCTCCTCGCTTCCGCACCCCTCCTTCTCGCTCTCGGGCTCAGGCTCCATCACGCTCGGGTCACATTTTCACAGAAGAGGGCAAGGGGGCACCGCGCATCGGCGGCGAGCGAGGGAAGGGAAGTGAGAAGGACAAGAAGCCCTTCTCAGAAGGCGGCTTGGACTTGTCAGAAGCGCTCGCTCCTTCTGAGAAGCCTTCTGCGTCTTCGGGGGAGGCTTCGAAGACCTCTTGGAAGGCAGGGGGACGTCCGGGCCTTTGAGGAGGCCTCCTCCTTCTCGTCTCCCCCCCTCGCTCGCCGCCGAGCGCAGGCACGGGGGCCGTCAGCAGACACATCGGGACAAGCAGTTTCGGTGGTTTCGCGTCGTGTCGACTGGCCGCGACCCCGCCGCGGGCGTTCAAGGTTGAACGCCGCCAGTGGCCCAGAATCGGCCTACATGGAACGATCGGGCGATCGGAAAGCCGCCGATCGTTCAAGGTTAAACGATCGACGCGGTGTCAGAATTCAACGCCAGGATCGTCACAACACGAATTTGCCGTAGCTGGTCTTGGTGGAAGTCCCGGGAGACCACTCTCCTGCCATGCCAAGGTTCGGCGTGGTCATGAGCTTGGAGGAGCGGATCCCAGCGAGCGAGGAGCACCCCATGTGGATCTCGACATTCGTCCCCCGCCCTTCTCCTCCTCTTCCTCCTCCTCCTCCTTCTTTCCTCCTCCTCCTCCTCCTCCTCCTCCTCCTCCTCCTCCTCCTCCTCCTCCTCTTCTCTTCATTCCCACATCATCTGTCCCCCCTCGTCCTCACCACCCCCCTCCTCCTCTATCCTCCTCCTCGTGCTTACTCCTCATCCTCCTCCTCCTCCTCCTGCTCCTCCTCCTCCTCCTCCTCCTCCTCCTCCTCCTCCTCCTCCTCCTCATCCACCTTCGAATCTCGAGCCTCCTCCTTCGCACCTCGAAGCCTTACCTCAAGCCTCCCTCCCTCCCTCCCTGGCGAGCGAGGAGCACCCTCTCCCCGCCAACGTCCCCGACTACGTCCTGCGCGAGCCCCGCGCGGGGGCGCCCGGGCCAGCGCTGGGCGTTGTCGAGGTGAAGAGGTGCCTCTCCAGGGGCTGGGAGGCGAAGATGGTAGAGGCTCCCGCCGCTGCTGCCGACTCTGCTTCTGTTACCCTCTGGGCCACAACGCGCCGTATGCCCTGCCCTCCCCCCCTCCCCCCCGCCCCCATAAAATCATTAGCGCTACCCCCATCAGTGCGTCCCCGGCACTGCCGCAGTGCGTCCGGCACAAGAGTCGGGGGGGTGGCGTTACGTTGTGCCCCCCCCCCTTCCCTTCCCCCCGCAACGCCCACTGGGGCCCCCCGTAACGCCAGTCTTGGCCGCGAAGGAAACAATGCGCTCCTGCCTACTCGAAGCAGGCGACGTCACCGACGCATCGCTAGGCCTCCTAGATGGGGTCCGAGTAGGTGGGTTCGGAGGATAGCGCCGCATCGCCGATGCGGCTTGATGCAAACCCCGATTTGCTTCACGCCGACGTCGCCGATGCACCGCCGACGTCGCCGATACATCGCCCATGTATCGGCGATGCGGCGCGATCCTCCGACCCCACCTACTCCGACACAGTTTAGGAGGCCTCTAGCATCACGATATCCTCCACGCCGACGTTCTCCACGCCGACGTCGGCGAGGCACCGCCGATGCGTCGCGGAGGCACCGCCCAGGCATCGGCGCGGCATCGCAAAGGTGCGGCTGGTGGGAGGCGAAGGGGGCGGAGGCTCCCACCCCGGGTCAACGCCCCTCGCCGCGACCCTCTCCTCCTCCTCCTCCTCCTCCTCCTCCTCCTCCTCCTCCTCCTCCTCCTCCCTCCTCCTTCCTCCTCCCTCTCCTCCTCCTATGCCCTCCTGTCCTCATCCTACTCCCTTATCCTCCTGCCTTCTATGCCTCTCCTCCTCCTCCTCCTCCTCTCCTCCTCCTCTCCTCCTCCTCCTCCCTCCTCCTCCTATCCTCCCTCCTAGGCCTCCTCTTCCTCATCTCATCCTCCTCCTCCTCCTCCTCCTCCTCCTCCTCCTCCTCCCCTTCAGGGATGCTTTGAGCGCCGTCTGCTTTAAGGAACGAGCGGTTTTTCTTTGTCATTCGTCTTCCTTCAAAGGAGGCAGCAGCCCCATCCACTTCAACGCATTCCTACTTTATGCTCCTTCCCAATTTTTCCGACCGATGGGCAGCCTGTTCCTAAACGCCGGGCCCAGGGCCGGGGACTGGAAGAGTGTGGGATTCCTTTGGGGTGGGCTCGCACCGCGTGTGATATGGTCGGACCGAGGTTCAAGATCGAGGTCGGTTCGGGGAGGGTGCCCTCATATTCTTCATGTGTTAGATGTCTCCAGCAACCCCGCCCTGAGCAGCATGAGGCGCTCCAGCAGCAACATACAGCACGACGGATTCTAGCAGCACGACCGGTAGCAACTCGATGGACTTCAGCAGCACCGTCGTGAGCAGCACGGCGGACTCCAGCAGCACGATCGTGAGGAGCACGACAGACCCCAGCAGCACATTCGTGAGCATCTAGACGGACTCCAGCAGCACAGCCGTGAGCAGCATGACGGATTCCAGCATCCACGTGCCCTCGGGCCCCCTGAAAGCGGCGAGGCCTTCAAGCGGGTCGGCGTGTTCTACGCAGGGCAGTTGGGGACGCTGTCGCGCGTGAGCGAGGACCAGAGCAGAGAGCAGAGCCCCGTCGCTGCTCAAAGAGATGCGGACGGTGAAGCTGGAGCCCGCTACCGACACCATCTGCTACAGCACCCCCCAATACGCGCGTGCGGGAAGGACGGGCAGGGGAAGCGGCAGCTGAGATGCGGGGAGTCGGGGTGCAGCCTGCCACTATCTGCTGCAACCCCCCGGACAGCGCGCGCGCGAAAGGACGGGCAGCGACAGTTGCAAACGGCCCTGGCGCTGTTGTGCGAGATGTTGGGGGCGAACCTGGTGCCCACCATCATGTGCTCCAGCGCCACGATCAAGGCGTTCGAGATGAACGGGCAGGGACAACGGCGGCCAGCCCTGGCGCAACGCAGCGAGACGTTGGGAGCGACACTGGGGCCTACTATCATCGGGCCACAACACCCCGATCAGCGCGCGCGAGACGGACGGGCAGGGGAAGCGGCAGGTGGCCCCAGCACTGCTGCGCGAGGTGTTGGGAGTGAAGCTGGAACCCGCAATCATATG